TTTTTTTTTTTTTTTTTTTTTTTTTTTTTTTTTTTTTTTTTTTGAATCTTAAGATGTTATCAAATATCGCGTTGACATATATAGAATAGTGAAACGGCACAAATGAACACGTAATGAAAACAACTTATTTTATATTTAAATAATTTTTGATTTCTTTTTAATTTAATTGCAAATTTCAAATTGGACAGAAATCATCATCAACGACGAACAATAACGTAAAGTCATTTCTCATAAAAAGTAAAACAAAGAAAACTAAATCATTAAATCATTGAATTCTCCTTTAAATATTGTTACGATATTTTGATAACCCATACAAACAAACAAACAAACAAACACAACAGCATATTATGCAAATTACTCGGTTGGGGAACAATTCGCAATTCGCATTAGCATTAATCAATTAATTATCATAAAAAAGTTTTTATCATTTTTGCAAATACTTGCACTTGATTTCACATCATTGCTTTATCATCACCTTCACCATCAAGCCAAGCCAAGCCAAGCCAAGCCATGCAGCAGTCTTAAAGCTTCAATATTTCGATAATTTATAATTTTAATGGAAATTTTTTTCTTATCATCTTCCCTAGATTCGAAAGGGCAATCCGATTTGGATATAATATTCGGTGGCGGTACTAAATATAATCGCGCCAGTTCGGACGCTGAGCTAATTTTCGGCACACCATTAAGCTATAAAAGCGATCGTTTTGGATCATCGAAAAGCATGAGCGTAGCATCAGATAATTCCTACGGCTATAATCCGGGTAGCAATGCAACAACCATGGGTGGTGGTAACGCGTACAAAATATACGAGGGTATACAGAATGCAGCCTTTACCGATTTTGTCGATTCGCCGGCATCGCAAATAAAATCGAAGATCGATAAAAAGTTAAGCGGTATCACTGACGATGAGGACGATTTGGATCTTAAATAGAACATCATTTAGACGTGAAATTCAAATGATTTACATGCGAGACCACTACACCTAATCAACTTCAAAACGCATTATTGTTATTGTTAATAATTTCCCTGTCACCAGATAACTCAGTTTCCAACCATATTTGCCTGCGTGTCTACACTTGCGCATTCTATGTTCTGAAGATACTAATTCCTTACCAACCGATACCTGATATTATTGCACTTCAAACTTGCGCCTCTACAATTTCCTGGTTTCATAATGAAAAAAAGCTGAATAAATAAATTAATAAATAATATAACGCATATATGGGTGTATGTGGATGTATTTGAATTTACGTTTTCCAAAACACACTCGCTCACACATGCAACACAAACGTACAGACACACATTCACACACATGCATAATCATCTGTGTGCAAGTGTGTACATATACATATATGCGAAGAGTATATCATTATGTAAAAATGCACCAATAATAACCAAATAGGCACACACAAACTCATAAATATATATAAGTTATTAAAGTATACTTACACACTTATCTACCTACATTACCTACATATATATCCACTTATATATAATCTCCCAAATTTAAACCTAAAGAGAAAAAAAAAAGAAGTTAAAATTTTTCCCATTATTTTCTTGTTACAAATGAATTTTATTCCCTTATGGGTTTAGCCGAAGAAAAACCAAAACAAACAAAAACACAATGACAATACACTTCAATTGAGAAAAAAACTAAAAAAAACTTTAAAAAAATAAAAAAAAGTCACCACGACTTGCATACAATATATATATATGGAACGGTTGACAAGCGGAGAAAGAGCGATGGGGGGAAGTGTTACATTCGGCTTAAGTCGAATCTTTTGCTTATTCACCACCACTTATGTTCACTTGAACGCAGAATCCACATGCTTTGATATTTGAAATATCCGAGGATCGACGCTAAAGCATCATCAGCAGCAAATATCGTAGTAAATATTCTTCTCTCTTTCTTCGTCTTCTACAAATCATCGCAATTTTCGCACCTCGAAAATATGTATATCAAATATGAAGATAGTGTATGGATGTACATCGAGACAGATATACATACGTACAGATGGATTCAATGATACGACTTTAAAGCAGAGGGTGAAGCATGGGCCAATGGTTACACACTTAGATAGGCGAACGAAAGAAAGAGTACGAAATGTGTAGACGGCCAGAAGAACGGATTAAAGGGGTAGGCATTGAATTCAGAACCGACAGGCGAACATAGAAAGACAGCCAAATATAGAAAGGAACGTAAAACGGACAAATGGATGAAGAAATACTCAAGTGCATATAGATTCATGGATATACTTAGGAAGATATGAAAGCATGAATAAAACGTACGGAAAGATGGATAATAATAATTTTAGTAAATGTATTACCGATCGACAACTTCTTCATTGCTTTGCCATTCCTTCGATTATTAAATTCATTAGATGAAATCAAATGGAAAGATGGACGAGCGCACTAAAAAGAAAAAACAATGCCAGACAAATCAATAAATAGATAAATAAAGAAGGGGACGGGTGGATGGAAGCACAGAACCATACAGATTAGTAGTCTTACGTGTGCGTGGCCTTTAACGCACATTTCGGATTTGGTGCAAACATAATAAATATGAGTTTAAGACACTCTTACTTTCCAATGATGATAAATATGTTTTCAATGGGCAATCTACCGCGATAGGATGTATTATATATGTCCATCCAAAATTGTGTTTTGATGGAATAACCAAACAAATTGATAAGCGGGCATTGTAAAGTATACACATTATGACGATACCACTAACAAAATTAGTACGCATCATACATTTGTGGTGGGTGGATACACAAAATTATTATATTAATTATAAGATACATATGTATTTAGAAAAAAAAAGAAAAGAAAAAGAAATCCGTAAGGGAAACGGAAATGGAAAGGGAATGAAACATAACTAAATATGACCTTAACGTAAAATGTTTTAATGAATCAATGTTTTGTGTATTTATGCACACAATAACAATAATCTAAGCATATACATATATACAAAGTCACACATACACAAACGCACCCATATATATATATATATATACGTCCATGCATGCAATGGCATGCATGTAGAGTCGATAATATTCTTATAAAATATTTATGAATAATTTACATACATAATTAACAGATAAGCAATACGGACAGAGAAATGTGTAGGCACTTCTACAGACATATACACAATATATGTACATCTATATAAAATATTTATAGTTAAAAATGTTTAGTTCAAAGCACTTTGTTATTTTTCATATCAATTTATATCAACAATTTGTTACAAACATGTTCATATTTAGGCAAATTATAGGTAAATACTTTTTTTTCTGTTCTTTTTTTTTTTTCTTTGTAAATTAAGGAGTATTAGCACAAAATGGTTGCGAGGGAATTCAGAACAAAAACAACGAATTTTTAGTAATTTGCCGTGAAAATGAGACAAAGGCTTATTGTTACAGTTAAACGCTGAAAAGGTACATTGCAGACAGGCCATGGCTCCGACAAGTTTCGAAACCTCTTTGCAGTAAAAAGTTAAAACAAAAGACCCTCTCTGTTAAGATACATATTGAATTGTTGACGGAAACTTCGTATATTCAGATATCTTTATCAAATTTTTGGACTAACACTTAAAAAGACAAAGCCATCTCATAAGCGTATTGCACTAGCAATGTTCGATTTCTTACGAGTTAAAACCCGAAAGGATCTGCAAAATCTTTGAAACGGTCTCAAGTCGTAATTCGTCCTGAGATGATTTCAATAGTTTAGCGTATCCCCTAAATTTATGAAAGCTTTTAAGTCCTTTTCAAATTGTCTAAGAACTGGTTTTTTATATTTCATAATAAGTGGAAATTTTGGTATGAGGCATTCCGATAAAGAAACGAAATCCGAATCAACGCAAAATCTCTTGCTAAAGGTTCCTGCACCGCGGGAAACAATGTATAAAATATTTGTAATCGGACTTCCGTTTAACAAATTAACCTGTCCTTGAAACAATTTAAAAGATTACAAAAGAGAGAAGTCGACAGTTAAATACCTTACAGCGGGTTATACGTCACGGAGTGGTCGTAAAAATGAATGAAATCCAATCCATTTCCCCATACGGTTTACACCTGAGCCTCAATCAACCCTTGTAGCAAATTTCATCAAAATATGTCGACATTTTTCGCGATCTGTAGATACATACGTGAATAAAAAGGTTTAAATCGCTTGTGAAAATGACCCAGAAACGATTCATCTAATGAAAAGTGACTTTCATAACATATCTGAGTTACACGATTCGATGAAATAATGTCGGAATTAAGCGTATAAACTTGAATTACTGGAATGTTTGTTTTGTTGCTCGCAACGCGACTCAATAGAGCTAAAAGTAGTTATGCAACTAAACAAATCATTTTCAATAGTCTCAGAGGGCATTCCTTGAGCCACCTTGAAGTATGTTTTGATTCACCATTTATAATAAAAGCTGTACGTCATTACGGACAACTTTAATATCCTCTTTGAATTGTTATTGTTGATCTCCTCATTCATATTTACAAACCTCTTAGTTTTTAGTTTTCGAATGTTATTGCAATGACATATTTAAGTTGGCAGCTTAAAAACTTGCTTGAAAGGCATCTACAAACCCATTAGAGAACATGGGGCTGTGTTGAAAAGCCACGTCACGTTTGCAGAAATCGTTGATAATCGTGCTGATCGAGTTTTCCTGCCCGGAATTTCTGTTAAAGAGATATTTATTTCTCCAAAGTGTGTATTTTATTATCGCGCCTCTGAATGGCCATAAAAATTTTGAAAGCGTAAACAAAAAAACATAAATTTTCGTTATGCAGGTCACGCGTTTCCTTAAGTTAGTTTCCAATCCCTTCCATGAATGCAAAACTTGGTATACTCGCTGTTACGAAACATAGAACAATTTTTTATGAAACGATTACAAATCGGAAGACAAATATCCCACGAACTAAGAGAAAATAGCTTTTGAAAAATTCTGAACCGCTGAGATGAGAAAAAGACTTGTCTGCACCTAAGTAATTCGAGTTTCATTCATATTCATTATTTTTTTACAAATTTTTTGCATATTTATTACTTTAAAGAGATTGATTGTTTGATTTAGATAAATTTATAGCGAAGAAGATATCGTAGGTCAAATAGAAAAGCCTACAGGTATATCGATCTAACTCATAATCGTTAAAATCATAAAATTTGTTAATCACAATGCAATGCATGCTAGCGAGCGGATTCAACCGGATATAACGAACTGATATATTATTAATTAAAAAAAAAAAAACAAAAAACAAAAAACAAAAAAACACATAACTATGAATGAATGCAATATTGAAAAAAAAAATAAAAAAATAAAACAATTTCATAACCAAATACATACACAGAAAGTTGTTTAATGTTTCTCGTTTACTTGCAAAAAAATAAAAGAATATAATTATTAATTAAATAACACTCAATTTCGTCATGATTTAAAAGTACATTTTGCATACAAACATACAAAACACATACATTTACATTAATACCTCTTACAAAAAGCATATACACTACACTGTTATAATTGTACTCGACGACACAGGGATACCGTGGTATTCAACTATAGAACAAAATTATTATAATTCCGTATATATGCGCATTATACAACACATAAATACATAAATATTGATAGATGCGTTTACAGATTTTTATTGAAGAAAACTAAGAAACATAAAAGCGAGAAAAGACGCAAGATTATCCGGAGTAAAAATTACAAATATTGCAATTAACAAAAGTTATATTACGGGAATAAATGCATTATACTTATAAGTTGTCGACATCAACACCACATGCATAGACTTACACACGCATGTGCAAACCTACATATACGGTTAATATTACATATTATTACTAAATGAGTTGAACAATAAAAAATTCAAATATTAAAAAAAAAAAAAAAAAAAGTTTAGTTTTTTAATTTTCAAGTTTGCGCATGTCGACCGACATGCCGCAGTGTCCTCTCCCCATTTTCGCAACTAACAGACGGTGAAAGGGACGAAAAGGTACAGAAATAGAGGGACATTTAGGGCGGAAGGCGGTCGATTTATCGATTCAACAATCGATCATTTGTTGATCGCAGAATAATAGAAGAGGAGGGTGGATGGTCGGCCAGATGGATATTCTTGCGTATAGATGCAGGAATAGGCGATGGGTATTTAGCTAAGGTTTTACTGATGATTAAAAATTTGAAAGAAATCGAGGATATTGCCGGAAGGACAAATGGTTGGATAAGCGCATGGTCAGTGGGAAAGATGACGCAAGAAGACGCACAATCAACGAGACGAATAATGAATAAAGAATAGCATGACTGACAAGATACACAAGTTGCAGAAAAGGGGGCAATGCTTGTGAATAATTTCCCTATGTTCGCCTAAGTACACACAATAGCAAGATTCGAAAAGCTTCGTTTTTTGCGTTTCATGCACATTGCGTTTCTCCTCTGACAGTTTAAGTGACGTTTAAAGATGAGTTATCGAATTGCAAAAATAATTTTATGCAAATCAAGTAAAATAGTTACCAACCATTGACGGATAATTTTGGATCGTCAATTACTGACAAAAAAAGTACAACGCAATCATACGAAAGTATGATTTAAGTCAGTGACCTCACAATGCAAATGAAAAGGTAGAAATGAAAGTGGAATGATAGAGTGTGTAACGACTCCACTTCCGAAGTAAATGTTAAATTATTTTATAACAATTGATTGAGGAAACTAATTCACTTACTTCTGAAGACATGTTAGAAAAGCGCTGTCTTCACGCTTCAGCTATGTAAAAAAATATCACAGCACGCACGCAATCGTTTACTATTAACTGACTTCTTTTTTTTTTAGCTTAGTTAGCGCTGTTAAACACATATGAACGATCTTCGCTAAGAAAAATGTAAAGATCTCTGATAAAAACGCAAGTGATCGTCAATATCAAATTCAGTTCAACTTGGTGGTGATACAATTTGGTTTTATTGGGATTGTTACTAAACGAAACAAAGTTGAGAAAGCAAACAAAGAGCAGCATGTCACGTTGGATAATCAGATATGTTGCTTTCTGGAGATTGTCTCTGACTATAATATTACACATGTTGTTAATAAAATGCAGTTCGTGCACTGCTATGAACAGCCAAGAGGACGATTCCATTAACAAGTTATCCAATGATGTTGCAGTCGATAATAGGTTCAAATGGCTGAAAGGAGCGCAGGACTTAATTGCGAGTCCTACTGGACATGTGGTAGTTCAAGTGGCAAAAGAACTATTAAATCGATCCACGGGCAATAGTCAAGTTAGCGATTAATACTTAGTTATTATGTCTACATATTTGCATATGTCAGCGAGAATTATTCGTACTCTTGCAGGTTTTAAACCTTAATATAACTAACCTTATAGTGATATTGCTTCTTAAAGTTTTAATATTTACCGCCGGTCTCTTAGGAGCTGGACACTGGGGCGGATATGGCTATAATTATGGACGATCCAATGACAACGGTACAACTTTTTTAAAATTATAAACGGTAACGATCGGCACTCTCACAGGACTCGTCTTTTGCAGGCTTCTCATTTGCCCTAAACGAAAATGAAGCTCACCTAATTACTGGTTTCTTGGCGGCTCAAAGTGGCTTCGATGATTGTTTATATGAGGCGGCTTGTTCAGCCCCACATGTAGCCTATGAGTACGCTAAAGCTGCGAAAGCTTTGATGGAAGGAATTAAGAAATTTGAAGGGTAGGTTATGCTTTCGCTCTTTGTCCTAACAGATCTTCATTTACGTTTCGAGTTTCCGTTCATTTTTATGTATTAGCATCAGCTATAATAATCTTCGTTATAATGACTTGATCGAATTGCTTCAACAGGCAGCGTATAATGGACATAAAGGATTAAATTGCACTATAACAGACAAATGCGATAATTTGCGTTAAAGTGCAGCTTAATAAGACGTTAAATAGAAAGAAGGGTGCGAAGATAAATTCGAAATTAACTAGCAAAGACACCTACCATATCTGTTACCTGATATCTGTTACCAAAACTGTTTAAACGCTTTAACAGAGCATTGTTAAATATTTAAAATTAAGATATCGTTGGATTTGAAAGCCTACTCCGCCAATATTAAACTACGTAAAATACTTTGGTGGACATCTCGTAAACCTATATGAAAATACCTTTCAAATAAACTAAACAAATTCAAATTCAGACTATGGCAGATATTTTTAACCAATTTGGTATGTTAGCGAAAAATGGGTAAAGGAGAACATCCAGTTTTGAGACTCTACTGCGGGCAAACTAGAAAATCTCCCCTACATTCACATATACTACGAGAATCTAGGGGTAGACGTGTCTTCTTGTACTGCTATTTCTACTCCTACTGCGACTGCGTCCGCGACAGCTGTATTTTTTTAACATTTTGAGCACGTTTAAACGGATCCGGAGATCGGTTTGAAATATTTAAAGGAGTTTTGGTTGGAATCAAAAAATTTTATACCGACTTAGTTGACATAATTCATTACAATAAAAAATGTTCGTGAACTCGTCACCGCAAATGTAGTCTTAATTGGAAGTATTCGAATTGTTCAGATTTCGCACTGAATTGTTACCGCATTCCGCTAAGTGCAGGACACTCGCTAAGTGCAGGACACTCGCTAAGTGCAGAATTTAGCTAGGTGCAGAACATTTGCTGCATTCAGCTGGATGCAGCACATTCGCTAAGTGCAGCGCTACATGCAGCTAGGAGCAGCACAGATGCTAAGAGTAGCGCTGCATTCAGCTAAGTGCACAACCATACATATGATATGACTGATGATATGATATAAGTCCTTACATGGGAGGCGGCGAAAGCACTAGTCCGATCCTTATCATATTCAATATCGTTCCTTCTTGGCCCAAAACATGTCAGTACACCAAATTTAATCGCAATATCTTAAAACCTGCGGTCTATAGGCAATCTAACAGCAGAGAACAACACGGTCGCTAGTGACTGCGCTGCACCTAACTACAGCGCGGCACTTATCGACTGTGCTGCTCCTAACGACTGTACTGCACCTACCTGCAGCGCTCTCAAATTTGGGTGTTCCTTCATACCCCTTTTTTCGGGACACATGCCAAATTTCAAAAAATTGTTAAAAATAGTTCCCACAGGCAGAATTTGAATTTGTTTAGTTTGTTTGAAAGGTATTTTCATAGAGATTCATGAGGCTTTCAAATTTAGCTATATCTTAATTTTAACAGCGCTCTATTAAGGCGTTAGCAGACTTTTGTTAACAGATGTGATAGGTCTCTTTGCTAGTGAAATTCGCGTTTGTCTTAATAGAAAGCATATATTGTTACATTTCTCTTTACTTGGTTATCATATTTCATTAAATGTGAAAAAGAATTAAATTTCAATTGATATCAGCTCTGAAATAATTGGGATTGTATTGAGTTCGAATTGGAATGAATTGATATAATATATAAATTTCACTCTTAACAATGTATAAATTATTTGCATCTTTGTTTGGGTTTAAAAAAATGTTGAGTGATCAAAAAACTATTATTCATCTAAACAAGAAAAAGTCTTTAATTTTCAGTTATAGCCTTAACATATTCCGGATAATGAAGCAATCCATCCTTATTAGCGTCAGCAATTAATAGAAACTCGTCAATGACTTCTGCAATTCGGTTAAAGAATTAAAAGTTTTGCAATAAATATGCAGTGATAAAAAGCTTCTTACCTATAATATGATTAAGTTCGTCACTCGCATTTTTTATATAATTATCGCGATCTAATTTCTTAAATTTCTGATCTTGATGCACGGCAGCCTGCAGCATTTCTAAACCGTCCAAGGCATTGTTATTGTCACTATCGTGTATCTAAAAATCAAAATTGTTGCTTAAAGGAATAACTGGTAAACGAAAATGACTAGAGACCAACCTTGAAGTAATAAAATGTTAGTTCTTCCTCGGACATATCTTCAATATTCGCATTGATGCCCATATCTTTTAAGTCGTCCTCAATGGCGCTAGTCAATAGATGCACAAGAAACTTGCCAACACAATTATACATACATACACGCATACACTTACTGCTCCTCGTGTGTTAAATGTTGATCCAATTTACGAGTTTTCGATTGCTCGCTGCGTGGATGATGAGGTCCTCGCTTCACGGCCGCACCGGGCTCGAGTTTTCCACTTAACATTAAAACGCATAATAAAAAATTTGCAAAATTCAATAAATTGCTCATTGTAGAATAGGCAAAAATTGGCAGTTGCTTCCTTCTCAAGACAAACGAATTGAAAATAATTCAGTTTAGAAGTTTATAATCACATCCTTGCCATTGCACTGAAGTATATTCAAGCTACAGTCTGGCAATAGAAATAATTTTTCCTACTTCGCTGTCTTTCTCTTTATCTAGAGAGAGAACGAAATTTCGTTTCCTCCGAACTAATATAAAGAAAAATTCTCAAATGAATCTTTAAGAGGCTAGGGCGCATGTCATATTTGACATTAAATCCCGACAAGCAATCATAATAAAGATTTGTTATAAACAATTGCAGCTATGGTAACTCGGTTACCTTCGATTTTGACGTATCTCTTTAGTACGACTTCAATTTTCCGAAATTAAAAAAAGGCCACTGTAACGAGAGTAAATTTCAAATTTTTCAAAAACATAATTTTTATGTTTTTCTCGACCTAGCGAACCTAAATACAATACCAATAATCGTCTAAAATGTGTGATGATATTTGCGTATCGTTCGAGACCTTCAGTCCGGAGATTGAATATATTAAATTTTTAAAACGAAAGCCAATTGTACAAACGGCGAAACTCTACGAGCAATTGCATACACGGGAGGGTATCAAATGTCCTTGTAAGTACACGCGCTATAAAAGATAAAGACCAACGCCATACTTTTAAATGCAAAAATAATTACATTGATTGCAGACAATTTTAAGGGTTACGGCGTGGAAACGGACCAAAATACTATGTATCGTACATGTAACTCGGAATATGGATACTATGCGCCCAATGCTTATACTATACCATCACGGTATTTTCCTTTGTCCCAGAAATTTTCCAACGAACTTCATCGCTGTGGCATGTATCGTAACTTCTCCCTAAACACTCATATGGATCGATCTTTTTATTAGAATAGAATTTTTTCTTTTCTACATTTCGAGCTATATCTCTCCTCGAAATATTTTCATCGCATATAAGATACTTGTGGACAAAACTTTTCAAACAACTAAATTATAATCGAAATTGTGACAGGTTAGAGTATTAAAAATATTGGACCGATAGAAGGTGTCCTGTTGGCAACGCCCCCTGATCTGTCATTTATTTATGTTGTATTGAAAACTTGAATTTAGTGAACAAATTTTAAATACGATTTCGGACTTATTATTATTTCCTTTATTTCGGAGTAGATTTTCATGTACCATAAAAATGTGTCGCCAGGTTTATAAAAATTAATTGAAATAAATCAAAAAAGTTTTTTATGTCACATTTAGTTTTGTGTTTCTGTTTCTATTTTTTTGTTCTCTTTTTTGTTTTTTTGAATTGCATACGAAATATGAGGTAAGGTCTGCAAACATTTTCCTATTCTGTTGGAACGGCATAATGTTTTGTTTGCTTGTTTTTTACTGGAAGCACTGTTAAACCATTATTGGATTCGTTACTATGGGATATTTACGGTAGACAGCGCCAAAGCTCTGGTCGTTTGCATGGCGAAAAGTATTTCTGCCAATCGCTGGCAAACTTTGTGACCAACTCAGATGCCGTATATCAGCAATGCGATGCTAGCGAATTGCAACTGTTAAGCACGTGGAAATTAATCGATATTTGTGCGATACTGAAGGTGGAAATGCGTTTAATGGCGTGTTTCCTAGAGCATGTACTTATCGAACGAGACAGACTTCAACGCCAGCAGGATTATCTTTGCGCTTTTGTGGGTTGCATTTTGCGTACACAATGTGGTAAGTGGTGAATCTTTAAAGATATTACTGCGCATACTCGGCCATCTGTCAGTTAGATAAAGAGGAGTACTCGCGAAAAAGCCAAAAGAAACAAAGTTCAGTTCAGTTTAGTTTAAGTTCTAAGGCTGTTAAGATATTCGCAATCAGTTAGGTTTTGTGCTGAAGCACGTTAGAAGATAGAAGGAAAACATTCTCTCACATATATGAGTAAAAATACTTGTGCGTATTGTGTTATATGTGTGCATATGTGTATAGTGTACAATAACCTCTATGACATAGACTTTCCGAATGCATTAATGATTCGTTGTATTGTGCTTAGTTTGATTTAAGCTTTTGTTCTCATCTCATCTCTTGTCCTCGTATCCTAAATAACTTTAAAAAAAAAAAATAAAAAAAATAAAAAATTATAATCAAAAAATAATCATAAATAAGTAAATTTCCGTAAAATATTCAAAAAATGAGACAGAAACAAACAACAACAAGCAACTCAACTAAAATCTTATGTTTATTCACCGCAGTTGTTCTGTAATTCTTTATTTTCTTTCGCAATGATAACACCAGAGAAAATCAATACCAGAAAAGAAAAAAAAAAATTCAAATAAATTTAAGTGCCTTTATGGGCGCCTTGCTACGCGTTTACACATACGCATACGAACATGTGTATTATGAATTTTATGAATTTGTGTCGCATGAAAGAAAATCGTTTAGCTTTTCTTTTTGGTTTTTTTTTTTTTTTTGGTCCGAAAAATCTGTGATTAATTTCAGAAAGAATTGATGAATGATTTTTTTCGTCCATTAAAAGTGTTATATAAAGTGCATGTGTCACAGTGTGAAGCAAACAAAACAAGGTCAAGGTTTTCTCTTATGTTTATGTACGTATATAAGTTTTGTCCGTTTGTAGTGACACACATACACGTTTTCATTTAGACGTGTTCGTATGTAAGCAAACAAAGAGAAAATATTACATTCATAAGCTTGGAATGCTTTTTGCATATAAAGGATATTAACTCGCTCCTTATACCGAGCAGACAATGCTCAGTCGAGTTAAAGGGTGAAGATCAACGAATCTTAGATACGCTCCAAAAAAGAAATTCGATAGCGAAAAAAGTTTATAATTTAGGTCGATTTCATATCCAAAAAATTCTATAATAACCCTATCAGTGTTAGCGCTAGTGCTAAACGAGTAATTGCACATTGTATTTGTGCGGTAGGGTTCCTTTGAGAGACCTTTGACTATTCGTCTTTTAAAGTATTTAATAACTTTATTAGGTTTATAGTAGCAGTTGTAATAGTCGTATTCACCTCCCCTTATCGCCCGTCTATCTTATTGTTTTCCCGCATACCCGTCCTACATAGATCGACAGCGCGTCTAGATGGCGTGCCTCCTTCTCTCCGACTGTCTTTTTACATGATCCACGACCTACCTTTCAATTTTGCCTTTTATCTGTTTATTCGTCCTTCCATTTTTTCGACCTTTTAAGTTGGGGGTATGTTAACTTTTCCCTTTTTCTCAATTTATCTTTCTTCTGCTTTCTTACTTTCTTCTTTTCCCTTCCTTCCTCCTACTCTTCTTTGCTTCTATTTTTCCTGTTTTTTTTTAGCTCTTCCGACCTTTTACCCTTTTTGTCCTTCTAATTGTCACTCTTTCATTTTTTCAACACATTTTTCTTATTCTCCTTTCGCCTTCTTTGCCTCTGTTCTTCTGTCCTTCTCCCGTATTCACCTTTCTTGTTTTTCATCCTGTACTTGCCCAAACTTCTCAAACACAATTTTTTAGTCTTTCTAGTTGTCCGTTCTTTCAGTTCCGTCCTTCAAATTCACAAAAATCGATAAACCTAAGGATTCACATGTATGCTTTTGTGCTCATGACTGCTTAAAATACTAGAGTAATTTGAATAAAAAAAATACAAGTGTAGCAAAATTACTTCTCAAAAAGTTTTGTACAAAAGTTGTCTCGATAAGGTCAACTAAGGTCCCCACAATTATCATACCATACGTTTACATCATCTAGTGAGTATATAATAAGATTCTTAGTAATAACATTCTTAATCTTTAAAAATCGATTAAAGATATATATATATATATATACGAGGTCATTGTTCGATCATTGCGATTAGTTATGAGGCAGACAGACAAACGAGTGAATGCATTTGAAGTTGCACTAGATTCCATACTAATCCGTAACACAAATGCTTCACAGCGTTACCAGTAAATACGTCTGCGTTCCAGTGAAATATAGAAAATGTCACAAAGCAATAGCGCAGAAAATTCTTATTTGCATGTTTTTGTCATACAAAATACGTCATAAGGTGAACAAAAGTAAATATTATTGCTTAAGGTTGCAAGTGCAATTCCACTTTTACAAGAATTTGTTTTTCTTACTTATTACGCAGCTTTTTGTTTTTTTTTTTAACGCGATGAAGTATCTTTTATTTTAATTTCCTTTCAAATAAAACTTTATATCCTTGAGTTAATGCTTCTTAAGATATGTAAGCTCTTAACATAATTTCACATATGAAATTAAATTGAATTGAATATGAAAAGGCAAGTGTCCCAAGCGATTTTCTAATTAGTGTCGAAAATATACTATAGATTTGATTTCGTCTGATGCTAAGTTCGGCCTTTGCTAATAGACGACCAAAGTCGGCTGCAACATGTCTACCAACATGGTGGACTAAGGCTTGTGTGAGTTGTTTATTAACGTTTCATTTAATGAGTTCATATATTAATCATTTTTCAGACTTGCTTTCCTTATCCTTATCTGCATTTTGTTGTTGGGACCATATACCCTACAATAACATTCGAGACTAGAAGGATTGTAAACAGATAGCAATAGTTGTTGGGGATGAGCTTTGTAAATGAAAAGAAATATTTATGCTGCCATCCGCTTTCATACGTGTCAAGATGAAGAATGTAGAGAACAAGATATTCAATATGATGAATATCACGTAATGGCTTGCGTAGAAGCGAGTGTCGTTCACATTATCATAAAATGAGAAAATTTTAGTATTACGTTCTACGCGTTACTTCATCTTTTTTATGATAGCAAGGATGCAATGGCTTGATAGAAAATTCGTATACTCTTTATTGTATAACGGAAGACAAGCTTACATTAAATTTTTCTCAGTGTTTCTAATAGTAATCGTAATCGTAATTGCATTTGAAAATGTAAAAATTTAGTCTACATTCGACAATGTACGTCCACAGCTCCATGAACTATTATTTTGATTTTATACGCCATAGAGTTTGTGATGACAGGCCTAAAATTAGCCAACTCTGCAGATCAAGAAGATCCAAGATGCATGCATGCCTATCGTATGCGTGAGTGTTGATTAGGCAAAATATAAACACAAAAAATATGTAAATATTTCAGAAGTTAAGAAATATTTTTTTAAGAAAGGAACGGCTAATCGTTTTATCGATCAAAATTTCTCACATGTTGTAAAATGCAAACCAAAACCTAAATTTATTTATGTGATTGTAAATTATTGTATAAGCAAAAATGATTTCCTTACTTACCTTTTACTCTATCGGAACACTGGGAAATTTGGCAAAGATCTTGACATCGAAACTCGTTCACGTTTATTTACATTTAAAAGTTTATTCATCATAGCGTTTATTTACACTGTTAAATAAGTTCTATAACATAACATATATGACGTCAACTTGAGTGGCATTTGCAATTTCTTTCAACTCGAATACAGATCTCTTATGTTACAATCTACTTGATATAAAATTAAGAGGACGTTGCACCAAACTAAACTAAATAAAAACAAAATCAATAAAATTATTGATAAAATGTGAATAATAAAAATAACAAACAAATTATTGAATATTGATTGCAATGCATGGAATGCATAACAACAGAAATAGGAAAGAAATTAAGAATAAGATTGATGAGTAGTGACATGAGCAGCATCAACCAATCGCCTCATAAGCTCTCCTCAGAAGATCCTTGAATCGGAAATTAACACTAGACCGAGATTATTGGGTTGTCTTTTAGCTGAACATGGGTAAATATATAGATAAGATAAAGTATTTCATAAAAAAAGTTATATTTTTTTAAGAACTTATATACCACACATACATACTCATTTATACGTATATATGTTGTAAAAGCATTTAAAAGAACAAAAATGCTCTGCTTATCATCGCTACTATTATTTTTTTTTTTTTTTTTGCTTTGAAATTTTTTTTTTTTTTTTTTGAAAATTTTTTACCCAAATACACAGTGAATGACAAGAGCGTCCGTAAAGTAGAAACGGTTTTATTTTCTCGAATTTTCCTTCCTATAGAAAGTGATAATAGGGGTACCTCTTATTTAAACTTATATTAAGCAAATGTCTCTTCAACATACCTATATGCTCGAGCCAATGTTTGTTCCAGAACACACAGAAGCCAAACCCTTTTTGAATAGTTCCTAAGTAAAAGTCAATTTGAACATACTTCCATTAAGAGCGCTGTATGCACCCTTGTCATTCCACTTATATACTCCAGCTATATATATTTAAGAAGCACAAGACGCGTTTCAAAGTAGACGACGCTTTTTTCAAGATAACAAACTTTAATAAGTTGAGAAAATCATTCAGGCGCATGGCGATTGAAGTTGACGGGCGCGCATGCCGCTTAAGGATTCTGATACGCTGCATCAATTGAAGCGTTTCATTGTCGAGTCAAAACCGGAAATTAATGTTTGTTTTTTATTTGATATTTATTTTTGAACCGATGCAATAAACACTTCGTCACTTATCGACCCGCCTTCTTCGCGTGCGATTGGTGTGCACTTATGGTCATCGCAGGCATCCTCTTTGTATTTAGATTTCTAACACAAGCATTCATCAATAGGTGGTGACATCATGATGTACTATTTTGAAAATATGGAAACGGGCCTGGTTGTGTTTTAATAACATTAAACAGACATTACTCCCTGATTTCCTTATACTCATCCCACCGAAGGTAAAGCTTGATAAACCTTTCAATCCGATCCAAAAATATCTACAAGAGGCTCTAGCGTAGTATTTACGCCTGTCTGTCCGTCTCTCTGTCCACGCTGATCAACAATGTGGGGAATACAGTGAACTTTGCAAGAGCGCATCTTTTCTTATACGTTTTCCAGAGCGCAGTTTGGAAAACAGGCGAAAACTATCTAAATATGACCTTACAAAATCCAAGGTACAACAACAACAAGAGCGAAACTGAAGGAGACATGATAATATGCATGTATAAAATAATTTCTGTCCAACGATGTGTCAATTAGTAATAGAAATGTTAAGCAAGAAAAATTGAGTTGTTTTTCAGGGAGTGATGGATATTCCATATTCGACGCAAGTCGAATGGTAAACTTTTCCTTTCGCTTAGTATGTAATCTTTAAAATATTGATATTATTTTTCTTGTTTTCGTTTCTTTCTTCACTTTCAACAAAACAAAATAATGTGCAATGAAAACATAAATAACATTTTAACACAAAGGTAACTAACTGTCTGCTTATAATATTCCAAAATACAAAAAAAAATGATGGCAAAAAAACATTCAAAATTCTTATCGACTTTCATCGAGCATTTGTTTTTATTCGAAATGCAAATAACAGTCATACCTTTTTAATGTCAGAATATATAATCAACCTAACCATCGTCATCAGCATCTTCGTTACATAACTTTATGTGAGCCCACGCACATCATATACACAGAATGTAGCAAGTAAGCAACAGCCCTCTCCTTACAAAACATAACGAACATAAATGAAAAAACCGTCAAAGTCATTATTTCTCACATCTGTTGCATGCTTTTGCACATCTGCCTTTTCTTTTTTTTTTTGTGCTTTGTTTATATTTTTAGACTCATAGAAGACAACATAGAACAGTATCTTATATATCGACTAACGAAAAATGTGGGGTATGTACGGTACTTGAGTGCATAGTGACACTAGGATTAATTAGCATATATCGCTTCGAGCGTTTATTACAATTTCTATTCCATACATAAATTATTGGAATCTTTTACACGAGATTGAAAAAAGTCATCTTCACAGGCAATAGCAGACCCAATCCGACGCCGCAGACGATTAGATTCCCCAATCGAAGGCTTTTTGTTGACATAAGATCACATTGATTGTCGTAGCATCCTTGAGCGGTCAAAAGCGTTATGAAATTATTTATCTAGCTTTTCAGCCTGCGTTACCTTATAATCCTACATAGATGACATAAGAGAGGAAAAAAAAGGACAAATTATTGCCCAGAAATTTGTCTGTGCGCCTTCCGTTAAGAATATGTAGACACATGTATAAGGCGGTAGCAGAAATCTCGAGCAAAAATTTCAAATGTAAAGTACCTCGACGCCGTTGTAAATATTTCCAATCTACGAATCTCGATAAGTACTTTTTTTGCCTTTTGATGGATCGGGCAGCTGAAACTATAACGTGCCTTTCGCCATCCCATGGAATGGGAAATTTTGTAATTAGTTTGCAGATGATGGGCTTCCATTAATGATGGATGGACTATGGGCCTATTTATGCAAACAATTGTCAGTTGATTCTCAAAAATGTTTGTAGCAGCTGTTTGCAGCGGTTTTTTTTTTTTTATTTATTTCGGACGCGTTTATGGGTGCATAGATTCCATTTCTGAATTTAACTTACGGCCGTCAACCAAGAACCATTGATTCGTACGCCCTACGGAGGCTCAGGAATATTACAAAGAAATGACAAAATAATAGGGCACGCATATCCTTTGTTCATCGATATAAAATATTTTTTTTCTTTGCAAATTCATTTATATTAGCCTGCATATATATTTAGCAAGCTCTGTATACTTTTGCGTTAGAAGCATGTGTTCAGCAAAGCATAGAAATATTTTCACTTCCATCGCTTCATTGCTTGAATTTTATGAATAACAGTAAGTACAAAATTTTATTAAAGAAATTTAAATACTCTCTCTTTCTCTCACTCTCTATCTTCTATTTCTATTTTGTTGTTCTCTTTTACTCTTTTATGTAAACCAATTAAGTTTGCATACTTCACGGATGTTGTAAGTTACACTTGAATGCAATAAAGCATACAATATATACAAAATATACGTATACGTTTATATTTACATACATATATATGCGACATATATACGTCTGCGAGAATTGATTTTTATAGACATAAAGAAAATAAAAAATGAATAAAGACTGGACGAGAAAAACGTGTAAGATTTCCGTAAAATCTACTGCGTTCGTTAAGCTTTTCCATTTGATATTATGCGAGGCTTTGTAGACTTGATGCAACGATGTGTGTGAGTGCGAGAATTCCATGATCAATCAGGTCAAAGTAATTAATACATATGCAATAGTCATAAATCCTTCAATAAAACAATTATGAGCTAATTGCATCAATATTTATTAGAATTAAATTGAACGGTCAAGTGCAAGCGTGTGTGCCTATGAGTGCTATCATCCTAGACTAGACATGTTCCAATTCGTTTTCTTCTTTCTTTTTCGGTTGACTTTACCTAGATGTAATATAGTCGTTTTTTTTTTTTTTTTTTTGTTTTAAATTAAAAAAATATGAAATAAGTTAAAATAATTGGTTGCTTGCTTGGGTAACGTTTTTAGATGATGCCCATCGGAAAATGCGATTTAGCCTTTCGCCTCCACCACCAAAGGCAATTTTTTCTTCAAACGTAGCAACGATTACTTACCAAAACGGCAGCTATTCAAATTTTTTATCGTCCTTCGATAAAGAAGACAACAATAAGAACAATATGAGCTCCCAAAATATAGAAGAAGAACAGCAGCAGGAAGATTGTGTTAACGATGCACAACAAACAAACGATGAAGCCGTTTCTGATTACATCCAATGGCTACATGCAATGAAGTTGGTAGCACGTCTTCCGGGCGGTATACCTCCAGAATTCAGGCGCAAGGTACGCATTCCAATGCTGTTCTTCTGATTACAAAGCAAACTTCTAAGCGTCTTTATTTCCATTGGTTAGTTATGGCTCTCCCTGGCAGAGAAATATATGAAATCAAAATCGATTGATTGGGCCAAGGAAGAAGAAAAGTGCTTTTGCGAAAAATGGCGCGAAGATGACGAAGAACTTGGGGTGCAAATTGTTAAGGTAACGTTGACAGACGACTATTCACATGCCCAGTTCGAATACTGAGCTAAAGTTATTTACTTATAAAGGACCTACACCGGACTGGATCAACTTTATGCACGGGTCCGGCAGGCGATACAAATCAAGCAAAATTGAAACGCATACTTTTAGGATATGCGCGCTACAATCCAGAGGTTGGATACTGTCAGGTGAGAAAGTTGAGACATTGCACTTGTCATTACGGATAAAAGTTATAGGCTTTGACAATTATTTTTCAGGGATTTAACATGCTTGGTGCCCTTATACTTCAAGTGATGGATAAAAAAGAATCTGAATCTATAAAAGTTATGGTTTATTTAGTCGAGGGCATTCTTCCACCTGGTTACTTTTGTGGATCAATGGGCGGTCTACAAGCGGATATGGCCGTGTTTCGGGAACTGATGCAAACAAAACTTCCCCGTCTAGCGAAACATTTGCAAAAGCTACAGGGTCCAATCGAGAATGCATATGAGCCACCGTTAACTAATGTTTTTACAATGCAATGGTTTCTCACAATGTTTTGTACCTGTTTGCCTATGAGCTGCGTGCTACGCGTTTGGGATTTAGTGCTTATCGAAGGCAGTGATATCCTCCTGCGTACTGCCTTAGTGTTGTGGAGCTTATTGGAAGAGTAAGTCCCCGTGTAGTCGCTTTTGTTTAAACTTATAATTACTACATTTATGAAACGTTAGCCCCCCCTCCCTTCCCTAAGGCTGAGGGGAACTAACTTCGCAGGATTAATTTACGAGAAAAATAATAACAATGCAAAGATGCGCACATGCGCGCAGTTGACGAGGCTATATAGCTATACAGCTTCCTTTTCTTCTTTTTCAGGCGAGTATTAAGTACACGCAGTGCCGATGATTTCTATGGTAAAATGGGTTCATTCTCTAGCGAACTTCTTAATGGACATCTCATTGATTCGAATGGTCTCATTGAAAAAGTTGTGCAACTAGGACCGATCGCGGATATCCAGAAGCTTAGAGATAAACATCTTTACAATATTACCCCATTAATACATAAGCCAGGAATACAGTAAGTTTCGATTAACGAAAGAGTAAACACAGTAAAAGTCTAACAACCGATAATACTTTTAGCCTATACTACGACGAAGAAGAGCCTGACACGGATGAAGACTCTCGTTTGGCAGTAGCCACGGTGTGGGGTCTCCCGTGGGGTCGAAGAGGCTCTCAAGGGCAGTCAGGAGGCGCAGTAACTGTCCCAAAACAAGTCCTTGAAAGCAAAGAGCGCTTGGCCTTAGATATTTCTTTGCTTAAAAAGCAGTATGACCGTTTGCGTGAACGACAGAAGCAAGCCCACATCATTCTAACGACGGCCTGTTCAACAGCGCGTCAAAGTACTACTTCCTCAACAGCTACAGCTCCTGTAAATCAGCTGTTGCTAGGCCGGCCGGCAATTGTTACGAATAAAGGAAGAAGGGCGGGGCCGCCTACTGGCGCCATACCACCAGCTAGAAAGCCTTCATTGCCTGCCGTGCTGCAAACTAAGCAACAACCGAGATCATCTGAGAAGGAGTTAAAACGAGGTGAAACTGTTCATTGGCACAACACCGATGACAATAAAAGACGTCGTGACAGTTTAACATGGAAGGAAATTAAAGCGGAACGTGCTGCAATGTTAAGCTCTGGAAGTGTAGATGGTTTACACTCTCGAAAAATTCGTGGACGTCATTTAGGTAAAAGCGATTCCTCTTCATATAGCGAAGAAAGTGATAATGATGCTGGATCCAGTACGGACACTAGCTTGTGTGACGAAAAGGACCAAAGCACAAACAAAAATCGTACAAATACCTCCTCTAAAGAAAGTGCAGAAAATATTAATTCAAAAAATGCACGCAAAACAAAAAATGCATCATCAAAATTACAAGAACATTATTCTGTTAATGATGAAGAAAGTACAGATCGTAAACGCCCGAAATCCTGGGCGCCATCATCAAGCGAGATTCCATTTGTCCTGATGGGTTCGGATTCTCCAATCCAGAGTGGCGATGAAAAGAATGATGATACCGTTAATAAAATTTTGTACGAAGATCTCTTTAAAAAGAAGGACAGTGCTACTGAATGTGACTGTTTTCGTTTAAAATCCGACACTGAGCCAGTTTGGCCGGATATTAAATACTCACCCATAGCTGGAGATTTGGCTTCTCCTAATCTAAAGCCTTTACACAGCCATACAAGTAATTTAGATTGCATTTCAAAGACACCGAACACTGAACAACTGTCACATACACATACACATAATATATCGAGAAGCCTTGCTGTCTCTAAGATAGGGACCTCGTCAACATTTGTTGACTCTACAGAGTCTCTGGGCAGTGGAGATGGAAATGAAATTAGAAAATTTGACGTCAGTGATGAAGGTGTAACAAATCAATACTTCGAACGTGTAAATAATGTAGAACGCCCTAATAAGCTGGATTTACCATACTCTCTTAATGAAGAGGAATATGTAGATTCTTACAAGGAAACAGAAACAAAAACAAGTGCTAATATTCAGGGACCCATTAACCTGCTTGACTTGTCCGCAGAGCAACCCAAAACTTTGGAAGAATCCCCCCACAAATTAGAATTCCTTGATGATTACTCAGAAAAATCGCCGGAAGCTCGAATTAAAGAAGCAACAATGGAATTGATGGTACAAATACAGAAGACCCTGTCAACATCGCAAATAGATAACGGAGCAATGCCGATATTACCTGAAAAAATAAAGGAAGTAAGAGAATGTAACTCAAATGATAAGAGTAAACGCCATTCAGTCAGTAGCATTAGTGCCAAAAGAAGAGATCCGAGGCGAATGACCTTAACTCGATCATCAACAATTAACGCAGAAGAAAGTTATAAGCTCCTTCCGAAGCGCTTAAGTATGCAACTATCTTATGACTTTAAACCTGTAACTAGCTACAATGTTAGCCAAACAAGTCTCTCAACTGAAGCAAGTAATCTGATCTCGGAAGGCGAAGAAAAACGGGGGATTCCGTCAACGGAAGTTCTGGAGGAGCGCTTCCATCGCATGGAACGTGAGCTACAATTAGTAAAAACAGATCAAAATCAATTGTCAAGTTTGCCAACCCAACGACAACCGGAAAAACGCGAAATATTTAGAAATGAAAACAAGAACACTAGCTCCAGTTTACTTGAAAAACAATATACGCTTAGCGATTCTATCAGTAAAAAGGATATCGACTTGCGCAAAAATAATGTTGATGAGACAGGAGAAGAGGATGTAAATAATAGTCGTGGCAAAAAATGTGACAAAAATGACTTACTTAAACACAATAAGGACGCGGAGAGTATACCTGAAACTGAAAGTAAAAGCGAAATAACAGAAAAGCAAGGATCGAATACGCGGGCGAAACTTAGTAGAATTCCGTCAACTGCCGAACTGGAAGATCGTTTCAATGCTTTAGAACGTGATAAAAGTAAACAAAAATATCATCCCTCTAAGACGAAGAAAGAGCCGCCCGATGATTTAGACGATAAAAAAACTAATAATAAACAAAACAACCCTATTAAAAACGGCAAAGCTGTTCCCGCTGACGATGGTAAAAATGAGGGAATAAGCGAAACGAAGGAAGAGCTTAAAAATAGAGACAACATGATGAAGAAGAAATCTCCCCCATCTACAAAAGAACTTGAGAAACGTTTTGAAGCTTTAGAAAGACGTTTAAGTGTTGCTACTTCAGAAGCAGAAGCCAATGAAAATTTTAAAAAATCAAATAGTCCAGTAAAAAGCGAAAAGAAAATTAGCAGTGGCTTAAGCCAAAAGGAACAGTGCACAAATTCTAGCAGTCATGTTAACAAAACAAGGAATGGAGAAAGTAACTCAGCGGAAAAACATGTACATTCTGAAAAAATACAAAATGAGAAAGAAACAAAACAAATCGCAGAAGATGTTAAAAGTAAGCCTTCTAAGAGGAGATCTTCTCACGGAGGAAGTGAGAAAAAGGAGGCAGAGAAACAGCAAACTGCGAAAGACGATTCTTCTGAGTGTAAAGAAAATTTCAACGAAGTCCACGAATGCGCCGAAGAAATAAATGATAAATCTGTGACTGAAGACAATCTGCAACTACACCAAGGTTCAGAAACTCTCGGTAAAGGAGATATAGAACACGTAGGCAATGGGGCGGAAAACAATAATTCCGCTAATAAAATAAAAAGTGGAAAAAGTGAACAAAGTCCAGATAAAAAATTAGCGACAGAAAACAAGAATAATGAAGCCACCACCAATGAAAATGCACCTGAAAATAGCCAAAAAATAGTAAAAACAAACGCAATTAACAAAAGGGAATACGAGGAGAATGATAAAAGTAAAATAAGAGAAGCGTTTCATGAAAAATGTAACCAAATCAGTGACGAATTGTCTCAAAATTTAAAGACGGATGAACCTAAACAAATTATTTCATCTGAAGAAAACATTCAGAAATCGGACAGTTACCAACGCCGTCAATCTGAGCCACCGTCTACAGCGGAACTTGAAAAGAGGTATGAGGCCTTAAAACGAAGAATGAGTTCGAGACCTATTGACGAAAAACCAATTTTAAAATCGAAAATAAAGAAAAATGAAACTCTTACTTCATCAAACACTAAATCTCTATCTTCTGAAAATAAAGCACCGAACGAAAATTTGCAAGTAAACATACACGAACAGCAGTTGGATGAAGAATCTAAGGTGAACGCACTTTCTGAGAGCCCTCTCGCAGTTGTACACTCTCCCTCTAGAGATGAAGAAGAAGAAATAAACTCATTAATCGAAGAAAACGTTGTACCTAATGCACCCCCTATGCCCCCCGGGGTATATTTGGATAAAAATCGAATAGTAAATAAAGAGGATCGGACTCAGCAACGTGCACTTATAGAAGAGCTTCAAGAAAAAATTAAAGTCCAAGCGAATGGAGAGAATATCAAACCCAGCGCAATTAATCCGAATCGCAAATCGCCAGCACAACGTTCACCCTATCATGACGATGAAACCTCGGAAGCACATGCAACCAGCGCTTTCTACAGATCGGAAAATTACGAACCTTGGTCTCCTGTTAACCAAAGAATGGTTCGTCGTTTCTCCGATTTACCCTCAAGAGCAGATCTTGAGAATCGCTTGCAGTTCCTAGAGCAACAATTAAGCAATAAACTACGTAAGAAGCGACGTGCAAGTGATTCCGAAGTAGCATCAAAAAGCAAACGGCCAGAAGAAGGACCCGCTACATCGAAGGGTCAACGTTCTGCTGGGGATTTAGAAATGCGTGTTCAAGCGCTCGAAAAACAACTGAGTGAAAACAGCCTAAAATTATTAGAAACTATGAACGCAAAAATGAAAGAAGCGATTACTTCAAGTGATGATGCACGTACACCAACAAAGTTAAGCACAGAAACTATTGACGTAACTGGGAAAGAGTTAGTAAAGTATACGCATATAGGAGAAGTGGCTCAAACGGAGAGCCATAAGCCAATTAATATAAGTATCAACATTAAAATGACTCTTAACAAAAACGAAAAAGAATCATCCCCTGAGCAAGAAGCACAACAACAGCATCACCAAGATGTTCACGAAATCCCATCTACAGAAGAGTTAGAAAGGCGATTACAAATTCTAGAGCAACAGATCAAAGACTCGAAAGCAAAAAACTCAATCCCAACTGAAATTAAAGATGAATTACAAGCAAATGAAAAACAAAACTTCGAGGTGTTAGAAAAAAAAGAGACAGAGGATATACCTCGAAAGGAATCAGAACCAAATGAAATAGCGGCTGAAAATAATGAAACCAAAGCTAATGATAAAAATGCCTTCAATGAATCGGACAACATAGTAGAGCAAACAGTCCTAGAACCTGAACGTGCAGTTGATGAATTGGAGGAGATAAAAATCGCTAACGAAGATTGTTCGATCGATGAAAATCATGGAAAAAGCCAACAAACGAGTGAAGAAGCAAAGGCTGAAACATTTTCACCTTCTCAAATGCGAATAGAAAAGACGACAAGCGAGCTAACAGAACTGCCGCCTAATGTAATTGATGCGACTAATATTGAGGAAATGGATCCGAACAAAAAGACACTGGTTCTTTTATTAGATAATCAACCAAAAGCAATGAAAGTGCGACGATTAACACGAGCGAATACTGAAGAATTGGAAGGGTTATTTCAAGCTCTGGAGAAACAACTCAGCGAACGAAACTTGATTAAATCGGAAGACGGGAAATTGAAGCACGCGGATGACGCCACCGTTCAAATAAGTTTAGTTAGGAAAACAGCAGAGACTGAAGCAATATCCCAACTATCGAAAGCAATTGCTAAAGAATTTACAAAAGAAGAGAAACTTGCGCCTAAAGAGATTCCGAAAGAGGAACCGTTCGATTGGGGTAGAGATCCTTCAAAGCACCATTTGAAACGGAAAACTGTTTACTTACCATCTACCAAAGAGCTCGAGGCTAGATTCCGATCGCTTGAGCGACAAATTAAATTACTTGAAGACGTGGAAAAAATCGATGTTGAACAACGTTTAAATGAAATCGAACGAAAAATCAAGCTGCAATATTCTCTATCTCATGAAAAAGATATAAACAAATTCTTAGATTTATGCGAAGGAAAGGGTGTAAATGAAGACGATCATGAGGATACATCGAATTCAGATACCAAGTCACTCCAACGCAGAAGTCCATACACTTCTCCGGCTCGTAAATCTACTGCAGACAAGAAGAGTCAAACACCAACTCGGCCAATTAATACGGACGATAGAATTCCATCTACTGACGATTTAGAATTTCGATTCCGGTCTCTTGAACTGGGAAAAGAAAAATCGAGAGCGAATATGAAATCAAAGAATAAAGAGGCGTACAAGAAACAAGCAATACACCCCTTGGAAATGTTGCTTGATCCTAGCCCTGATGAGAGTAATATACCAACAACTGGGGAATTGGAACATCGTCTGCGTCTGTTAGAAGAAAGAAAGAACAGTCCGTCCCCTCCTTCGCGAAAATCTCGTTCTCGGTCCCCTAAACCTTGTAACATAGAAAGGCAATTATCGAATAGTCCTACTGAACGGGAGCTTCCCAGTACCGAAGAGCTTGAAGCACGTTTGGAAGCTTTAGAACAAGAGCATACTTTTGACTTCAAAATGCAGAAAAACTTTAAAGAATTTAATCAAAAACTTAAAGATGCTGTTTCACCATCGCTTTCATTTGAGGAATTCAAAGCTTCCAAGTCTCGAGAAGAGAGTCCAAAGCATGTGCAGTCGATTAAAGAATCAAAAGCAAGCAATATAGATGACGAAACCCGAATATCACCTTATCGATCAACAAGTCCAAAAGTTATTCGTTTCAAAGAAGAAGAGGAATCACGCCTTACTTCTCGGAGCAAGTTTGAGCGCACGGTTAGCAAACCAATTAACGTATTGCAATTAATCAAAGAAAATTTTAAAACACTCGAACGTCTTCTTAAGAAGACTCTTGCAGATACCACCGCAGGCAACTCGCTACCTCCGACAGCATCATCGTCTGAAGGCCTTAACGCTAAAGGAACACGCTTAATTAAGGTTCGTCGACGCCAGTGATTTTTCAAATTATTTGAATAATAATTTCGAAAAATTTTTCCATTACTCCAGGAAACCTCACCTTTACGACGTTCAGGAACACATACCGGAGTACCTCTTCGAACAGGAGAAAACATCAATGACCGCCTCAACTCCATAAAAAATACCATTAAATGCATAGATACCCTCTGCGAGGAAAAGCCGTATCGGAAAGAAAAATGTCAACGATATATAGACTCACTGTTCTCGGACTCCACATACTTTAGCGGTAAGAAGGCTTCCTTGGAGGATCTTGCTTGTAGTACACGGAATAGTAGCCGTTCAGCATCTAAAGACCGCGGACCATCGATTCGTATTATCGAACATAGCGAGGCCTTCACACGCTCCACAGGATCAATTGAATCGGTAAGATCTTCTAGTCCTTTAGGGCTTTCATACTCACCACAATATCGGTCAAATCGTGACCTACGACGTGACATTTCACCCAGGCGAAGACGTGAGGAGGAACGCGAAGAATACGAAAGTAGGGTAAGACGTGATAATATATTACCAATTTATTTTAGTGATGTTCATAGTACTTTAAGTCATAAAAGTCATAGTTTAACAAAATTTCATAAAGTAGATAGACACCTAAACACAAACAATACAGATGTCGATCCGGATGAAAGGTTGCGTTCACGATCGGCTTCCATATCACCGTTGAGATCTCCATATAGGTCAAAGGAGATGGCGGCGATGATGGCGCACAACACTACTACTACAAGTCAATCCACCAACACCTCGGTCTATACGAAAAATTGCACCAGCAACAATAAATTTTTCGGAATGGATAATATGACCACTTCTCCCTATCGCTACTCCCCACACAACCTTACTACTTATGAAAGCTTATACACACGCAACTCGAACACGCCCATTTACTCGCCCGCAAAATTAGAAATACGACATACCACAGTCACATCCACATTCTACGATCGAGTTTTGACCGAAAAACAAATCGAAAAAACCTTATCTCGACCGTCAAGTCGATCGCCCATAGTATCGCCTTCAGTACCATATAAAAACTATGCGGATATAATGTCATCTGATGTCAAGTCTTCGCCGCTACATACTAACGTAAAAAAAGACGGCTTGTTACTCCTAACTACCGACTACACACCAATAAATAACTATCAATTTGATAAACCACTTACGGTCGCCAAAATATCGTCACCTTCGCGCATACGAACGTTAAACAAGAAAGATAATGATTTAATTGACCAAATATCGGTCAAATCACCTAAGACTGTTTTAGATTCCGATTTGAGGACAATTACAGCAACAGCTGCTACATATTTATCCTCGGATAAAAACATCAGTCAACATAGCGTGTTCGATAGGGTCAGTTTCACTAACAATAATAAGCTACCAGCGCCCTGTCCAACTACCACAAATGCAATTATTAACGTCTTAACAACATTACAACATCCTCCGAGGCAAAATGATATTTTTGGATTGCCATCTATTGCACAAGTACAGGTACATGATTTACAAAACCAATAAAAAACACAATTACTGTACACAATGTGCACAATTGAGAACAATATTTCCCTGTAGTTAAGTTATACTGTAAGCAAATATGTATGCAATTGTAGGTAGATAGAAATAACAGAACAATAATTTAATAATGAGCAGCATTTCATCTTGCAATTGTGAACGTAAAAATAGTTCAATGCGTCTTAAAAGACGCCCACATGCCTTATTCAACGTTTACACTTACACAGAACATGAACCCCAGGTATTCATACATTATAGCACCATCGTCGAATGCAAATAATAATCTATCTTTAAATACGCAACGCTTGAGCACACTCGTAATCATTTTTTAAGCACATTTCCATCTAAGCACTAATAAAAAATAGACGCAGTAAACCTCCGAACCGGAAAGCGCTGGTGAGAGAAAGAAAAGAAGCGAACATATACATTCTTCTTCGGACGATTTTTAAACAGTCACATAAGTCGGTCTTAATTTTCTGACAAACGGCGACCGATAGGAATCAGCTTAACTGAATCTGCGTGTACGAAATTACAAGACCCTTTTGTCGCCTAGAACAGGAATAAATTGATTGCGAAACAAAATTGAAAACGTTATAGTGAAAAGTTTGCGAGCTAAAGCTACAACCCGTTCTGTGAAATTGATACAAACCGTAACTAATTCCATACACAATTTCTGCGTAAAACCAAACTCACTCTCTTTTCATCTTTGTATGTAAAAATAAAAAACGTATGTTGTCACTCTTCAGTATGGCTGTCGCATGATGACGGAAAGAAACGAATAAAAAGCGTCATGATGAATTGTCTACTAAGCGTGACGTAATGAGTCCACATAGTCGTATTTGTCTTATTGATACGAAGAAAGTTGAAAATTGCAGCAATGCAAATTAATTCGACTTGATACACTTGTAATAATGCGATCATAAGCAACTTTCTATTTGTTCGTATTATCGAATGGGGGAAAATAGTCAACATACGTGATACGTGATCCCTCCCTGAATTTCGTTCATCGAAAACGATCATTATTTCTATGTAATCGAGTTTATAAGTAAGCACAAGTATAGTTAGCCCCGAGTTTCTGAGCGCAATAGTTTTTAAGCTTACACACTGAAGAACTTATTCCTTTAATTTTCTTAAAAAGCTTTTCGACCATCCTAACATCTTGACGCGGGTTAGATTCATTTGATGTACAGCAAAAATGCTATTACTGTTATTGTTATTCTTATTATTAGAGGGTATTCCAAAATAATCTGAAGAAGTTTTTGTTCGATCACTGGTAGTGCTGGGAGTTATGTTTAAAGAAAATATAAATAAATAAATTAAAAAAAAAACAAGCATATAAGCAAATAAATACTCCGCCTTGGCTAACCAAGTGTACTTTATAGTGTAAGCTAATTGCGAGGCACCACATTGTCATTATTATTATTGATAATGATAATAAAATTGTTTTTTGCTTCTATTTAAACTGAAACTACCATTGATTCGAACAAAGTTGCCACTAGTTGGAGTGCAAACTTTTGCTGTTTTTCTACTAAACCAAATACTAATTCTACTAAAATTTCTGCTACTTCTACTGAAATTAATATTACCTCTGCTAAAACTGTTAATATCACTGCTGCTGTAATAATAAAAGCATTTTTACTTCTTTTCAAAACAACTGTTATTTCGTTAAAAACTGCATATACTTCTATTAAAACGCCTGCCCTTTTTTATAAAAATTACCGATACATGTACTAAAATTACTGTTACGTCTATTGAAACTGCTTTTACTTTGACTAAAATCACTGTGATTTCTGCTAACGTCATTATTACTGCTACTACAGATACTTTGACTAACTGCACAGCCATGTCCCCTAGAGCTGCTCTTATTACTCGTAATAATATTATTATTTTTAATAATAATCAACTAATAAAAATACCTTTAGCTCCAGTATTAGCTCCAGTAAAACTGTTTGGCCTGAAACTAATGTTACTTCGACTAAAGTTATTTATATTATTGGAAACATTTTTTTACTTCCATTAAATTGTTTTTACTCAAGCTGCAGTTACTTCGGTTAAGACTTTTGCCGCTTCTTCTGAAGCATTCGTCGCTTTTATTAAATTTCTACTTCCTTTTACTTCCTCTATATCCATTTCATTTACTTAAATGAAAGCACTTACTAATACCACTACTACTACTACTACTATTACTACTTCCGGTACGGCTACTATTATGCTAATATTACTATACTTCTTTTCTAATAAAATTAAATCCACTTGAACTGAACCTACCGTTACTTCTAAAAACCCGTTTATTGTTTTTTACTAAAATCGGGGTTACTTCGACTAAAATTACTGCTGTTTCAACTAAAACTGTTCTTATCACTATATTAATAAACTGCTGCTATTTTATGTATATATAAATAACATAAAGATGTCTACTACAACTCTGCTACGATTGTTGCTGCTGTTTCTACTAATACTATACCTGTTAATAGTATTGCTATTACCCCGACGAGGACGACGATGACAACAACAACTAGTAGTTATGTAAAAAGCTTACAAATATGCAAATAATTTTTACTTACGCAAAAGCAATAACCAATCAATTAAAATAACCATATTAATATGGACCGAAAGCATGGACTCGTTGAAAAAATGTCAGATTCGCACTTAAAGCAACTCATTTGTATGCTCATTTTATTTATCAAATGTTGTGGCTATATTCATGATTTCTAATAATATTCTTATCGATCGAACTTGAACGAAATCCCATTTCTTATAGATATTTGTGTATTATCGTATCTATTTATTATTGCAGCTAAGGAAGCAATGATTAACAAGTTGCTAGCAATTATTCGTCACAAAGCCGCACACACATACGTATATACACGCGTATGTACATGCATTAAACCAAATTATATATATATATAAATAGCTACATATATATATATATATATATATATATATATATATATATATATATATATACATGTATATGTATATAATATATTCAATATATTTACAAAATTTAAGAAAAAAAAAAAACAATCAAAAAAGGTTTAGATTACATTTATTGAAATTAAATTGTTGTTAATGTTTGTTAATGATTATTATAATAAAACTTTGAAATTCACCACACCTCAAAATCACGTAGAGTGCTGCTTATATAACTAACATATTATGAAAGCGGGCAGCGTGTACCAATCAATTATCATCAGTTAGTTCATTTATTTCTACGAAGTCGAGGAATTATAACCAAATTTGTTTTTATTGTATGTACAGCTTTGCGATTATAAAAAAGGGAAACTTGAATAAATTCATGCGATTTGTTATGTAATTCAGTTAAAAATAACGATCAACTTGTTCAACTCCTCCATAAGATAGTAAAGTTCTTACACATATATTGTTGGAGTTTGTTTTTTTTTTGAATCATCGCGATACTCATACACAACAGTAATTATAATCAATCCTTACAATATCGATTGCAATTCAGTTTACAAATTTTGTTACAGGCGTCATCTTCTTCAAAATGTGTGTTACAGTCAATGAATTCGTAAAAGAATAACTTTGTTTTATCTCTAATGTAAAAGTACGTATAATTTAGTTAATTTAATTAATATTTAAAAGAGTTGACATTCCGTGTATTATTCCTATTATTATGATTATTATTTATTTACCACCACTGTCTGAGGGGGGTACACTCAGTTTGTTTCTGTCCATAATGTATATGTTACACCCAAAAGGAGGCTTCAGAGGCCCTATAAAGTTAATGTACTCTTGATTAGAGTGAAATTCGGAGTGGATTTCGCTACATCTGTCCGTCTGGATGGTGTATGTTGTTGGTACTCTTCTAGTTGCATAAATGTGGATATCAACTTTAAATTTGATAGAAACCTTGGAACTCTGTTTTTTTAAACAAAAAGTTTTGGATTTTTGCTCGTTACTCGGAAATTCTAAAAATTGGAAGGCCATGCTCACACAAAGTTCTAACTGATTAAATCTTGTTTTTTCCACTTTTTTGAGGTTTTATGCTTATTTATCATAAGGCAAACAAGACCGACTACCTAAAAATGAATATGATAGACACCGCAAATAATTTTTTCTTAATAATACCAACGATATGGGTATCAGGTAAAAGAAGTTGGAGAGAAGAATGCGAAAAATATGGTGGTGGGTAGGCGAGATTCGGCCCTCGCCGAATAGAATTTTCTTATTTGTTTTAATTAAGCAAAGAATCTTAAAACTCTTTAACCGATATCTTTATGATGTGTAATGTAATCGTATCGATCAGAATAATAAGTCAAAATTTTTGCATTCAATGCATAAGTACAATATTTATATTTCACCGATTTTAATTTTACCGCTTTTTTTTTATAAATATTTTCCCTTTTTTTTCCTTTTTCACTTTTTCTTGTCGTTTTTATTTAAATAATTATTAATTTTCATTCATATATATATATATATATATTTACTCTATTGTAATTTAACTGTTTCAAAGAAAAAAAGTAAAAAAAACAAAAAGTAAAAGACAAAAAAGAAATGAATAAACTTACTATACACAAATTATATGAAAATGTGTAATCTTACATCTACACTTAACTCTCTTTTTACACGGTGAATACATTCTTCAGAAATGCTCGCTAAAAAAACCGGGTAAAAAAAGAGATGAGCCTTTTTTATAGTATACGAAAACGAAAACCGTGTAAGATGAAGTCAAGAATTATATTTGATTTAAAAACCTGCAAAAAAAAAAAAACAAAATTGTTCTGATGACATGATTGAATATAAATGAAGTGACAGGCAGTTACACATTTTCCCATTCTACTAACACTTTATCTCTGAAGTATATGCGACTTCTGCTTAAACTAAGTTTTGATGGGCAGATGATAGATTACGATGGGTTCAAACCGTCGAAAATTTTATTATTTATTATATTTTACTATTATTATATTTATAATTATTGTTTTATTGTTTAACGCTCTATCTTTTTTTCAAATCTATACCTAAGACAAGTCGAATAAGGGGATTAACCAATGTTAACATTATTCTTTTACGCTTCTTAATTTCTGAAACATTGCAAAAGCTGCATTTCTTTTTAAATTTTTTTTTTTGATTCTATTTTGGATGAACGCACTGAACCTTAAAGTTACGAGACAATAATTTTGAGAATGTGTTAGAACAAGTAAATTTTTATATCTTAAAATTCCTGCAAGTCGGATGCGTGTAAAAAGAGAGTTTTGTTTATTGCGTTTCATTGCGGGGAAAGGAAAATGCATTCACGATTTTTCATAGAGACGTCTACGGTCAACGAAGCTGCTGCTGTTATCAGTAATAGGAATTTTTTTTTTTTTTTTTTTTTTTGAATATTGATAATTCATTCACATCATTATCAATTTCTATAATATGATCGGTTTTGCTACTTATCGATTGATATTAGTCTCGTTTGGTCTTTTAATGCAAACGGGTCTAAAATCGTTCCAAAAGCTCTTCCGGCATTTTATAATTTTACATGTGCGACAGACGAGTCTTCTAATTAATAATTCGTTTAAGGGGTTACATTAAGTTTAATAAGTAAAATGTATCGATTATCGGTAAAATCGACACAAAATTTCCTTGCGTCTTGCAACTCTCATTCCCCGTCCCTAATTGCAATGCAGTCTCTGCTTAAGATAGCTCGTTGTTTTGCTACGCCGCCCGTGGGTGATGTTTTATTTCCTACAAAATCTGATTTTCCCAGTCGTCATATTGGACCGCGAAAGACGGATGTGGTCTCCATGTTGGATACGCTCGGTTTTAAGGTGAGAATATTTCATCATTAAAAGTGATATTTTGAAAGCGGGGAAAATTGATTTTCTCCTATCCATCACCATTCTTTGTAGAGTTATCTGAAATGAGCATAGGTTATGCTTAAAATGAATTTCGATTTGTATTATTGTAATAGTAGATATCCTTGAACGTTAGAATAATTGAAATTGGCAAAGAAGACTTATGAAATCTAACTTTTAAGGGTGCAAAGGAGTTCGATACTTGTATATGCAAAAAATCATCTTGTATCAAATCCCTTGCTTATCTTTTATCTGATGAAAATTCTTATTAGATCGTTGCGAAACTTCGAATTGATCTCTCCATAGTTTTATTGTTTATAGTTAATTTATTCCGCTTTCAAAAGAAATCGCTTAATAACGCATTCCAATAAACGACTTATTCCCTTAGTTTTTGGCTGAACTCACCGAGAAGGCGGTACCAAAATCCATTCAACTAAATCGGGATTTGAATTTGGATAAACCTTTAAGTGAGTAGATAAATATGCGACTTATCACCTTACGCTAAAGTTAAACGTTCGACAATTAATCAACATTCGATGATATCAGTGACATAATATCAATAACGGAATTTGTGTGTGATAATCCGGAGGTCAAGTGTATTCGACAAGTGTATTTCATTATCAATAGCGTTAAATCCAATTGACAACATTTACATTCGCAAAATTTTTTACCTATACATACGTACAGAAATATCATATTTATTACGCACCTTCATACGGGATGAGAATAGGGTTGGTATTCTCTTGGTATCCTTGGAAAAACATGTTGATGCTAATATTGAAGAACTACAAGTGATTTCAAAAATGAACTTTTTTTGTTTTCATTCATTCATCATGTGTTAGTAAATATAATTTCTATTTCGTTCGTTAATTAATTTTCATAGGAGTTGCAACAACTTTTGGAAAGTTTCATATTTTCATGATTTACTTAATTAAATACAACTTTTTACAGATGAGCATGAATTGATTACCTCCATCCGTGAAATGGCTAAATTGAATGAAATTTGGCGATCATACATTGGTATGGGTTATCATAATTGCCACGTTCCGCATACGATAATGCGTAATATATTTGAGAATCCTGGATGGACCACTCAATATACACCGTATCAACCGGAAATTGCGCAGGGTCGCTTAGAGTCCCTATTAAATTATCAAACCATGGTATCGGAAATGACTGGACTAGATGTAGCGAATGCATCTCTCCTTGATGAAGGCACAGCCGCGGCCGAAGCTATGTGTCTCTGCTCGCGGTAAGTCGAAGGAGTACACTTTTTCCTTTTTTTAAGAATTTATCATAAATAATAAAAGTATTTTGCCTTAACAGACATAACAAACGCAAAAAGCTTTATTTATCAAATAAAGTTCATCCGCAAACGTTGTCAGTGGTGAAAACGCGAGCCGAAGCTTTAGAATTGGAAGTCGAAGTAGGTCCAATAAGTAGCGTGAATTTAACAGGAAGAGAAATTTCAGGAATCTTATTGCAATACCCCGATACGTATGGTGATGTTAAAGATTTCGAAGACATTGCTACATTAGCTCGTAAACATGGAGTAAGTAAATCATTGATTTGATTTGACGCTTTACAACTCTAATAAAATTTTTCAATTTCAAGACTTTGGTGGTCGTGGCTACAGATTTGTTGGCACTAACTTTGTTGCGACCTCCAGCTGAGTTCGGAGCCGATATAGCTGTTGGCACTTCTCAGAGATTAGGTGTTCCCCTAAATTACGGTGGTCCCCATGCGGGATTCTTTGCTTGCAAGCAAAATTTAGTTCGTTTAATGCCTGGTCGAATGATCGGTGTTACCCGAGATATGGATGGCAAAGACGCTTATCGCTTGGCCTTGCAAACTCGTGAACAGCACATACGTCGTGACAAGGCAACAAGCAATATTTGCACTGCCCAAGCATTATTGGCCAATATGTCCGCAATGTATGCATTATATCATGGACCCGAAGGCCTGAAAGCCATCGCTAATCGCATACATCATTTCACTTTAGCTTTGCAAACTGCTCTCACAGGTGCTGGCCACGTCATAAACAATAAGAATTTCTTCGATACGCTACATATTCAACCGTGCAATGGACTGATGGTGGACGAGATTAAAAATCGTGCGGCGTCAAAACGTATTAATTTCCGTTACTTCCCCGACGGGACGATTGGCATTGCTCTTGACGAAACGGTGGGTCCCAGAGATGTCGATGATTTACTATGGATTTTCAAGTGCCGACCTCTGGATGAAATCCTTGCTAATAACGACATCCTAACAAATTCAATTGAAAAATCGAAATTTCATCGTACCTCTGCGTTTTTAACGCACCCGATATTCACTTCCCATCATAGCGAATCGAGAATGGTACGTTATATGAAACGGCTTGAAAACAAAGACATATCTTTAGTGCATTCAATGATACCGTTAGGATCATGCACTATGAAACTAAATGCTACAACGGAAATGATGCCCTGCAGCTTTCGACATTTTACTGAAATCCATCCTTTCGCACCGGTTGAGCAAGCCAGGGGTTACCACCTAATGTTCGAGGAATTGGAGCATGACCTTTGTGAAATCACAGGTTATGATAAAATATCGTTTCAACCCAATTCTGGTGCTCAAGGCGAATATGCGGGCCTACGGGCCATACGCAGCTACCACGAGAATCGAAAGAAACGGCACCGAAATGTTTGTCTAATTCCCATTTCTGCACATGGTACAAATCCTGCTTCTGCTCAAATGGCCGGCATGAAAGTTGAACCTATACGTATACTTTCTGATGGAAGCATAGACATGGCACATCTGCGCGATAAAGCATCTGAACATGCAAGTAATCTTTCATGTGTAATGGTTACATACCCTTCAACTATGGGCGTTTTCGAAGAGACAATTACGGACATTTGCGACCTTATACATCGCCATGGAGGCCAAGTGTATCTGGATGGC